CCATTCACCCTTGAGGTACGCCATAGTGAGGAAGAAACGATCGAGTGTTGGGACGATGACGATGATCTACAATGCTATGAGGATATCCAGCTACGAGCCGCATCGACAGCTACATCTGTGACGACATCGTCAGTGCGTCGGTCGGGGCACCGAGATTCGATTTCATCGCGTCGCTCAGGACGTTCCGACATTGATTCCAACGCAGGAGGCGACGAAGATTGGCAGGTTCAGCTGTTGGACAATGACGAGATCATCACCGAAGAAGCTATTGCCTCTGCCAGAAACGCTGGGATACCTTTGCCTACGAACGTCCCTCGGTCGGCGCTCATTGGAGGCACCATCAAGCGTCTCGGACACAGAAAGCAGAGGAAGGATATTGTCGACGACTGGTCAGATGACGTCGAATTTCCAGGTCCTGACAGCTCCCTTGAACTAAAGCGTTCGCTTAATACGTGTTTTCCTGAATCTCTTCGGCAAATCAATTCCGCTGCCGCAAGCCCGACCAAAACCTCCGCCCCGTCTTTTTGGGATAGCGAGGTCTCTACACGCCTTCAGTCAGCTCTTGCTATCACCTCTATTTCACCACAAGATAGCGGACTCGCTGATACTCAAGATGTTCCTACAATTAGAATTGCCAGGCCTCGGTCCCCAGACAGAGCAACGCTTATCGATAGCCCGCCCCCTGAGAGAGGCCAGGATTCCACAGACAATTTCGAAGATGATTTCGAGTTACCGACGGATGACATTCTACTCCGCCTGTCTCCTAGAAAGACAGCCATGGAAACTGCAGGTCCTACTCCTGACGATATCGACGTAGATTGGTCAGAAGGCAGTATTGGAGTACGTTTCGGGGGCACTGCAAGAGATCATCCATCAAATCCGAGCTCTTCGGTTTCCGTTGTCAGCCCAAGTTCATCGAGTTGTCTCACGGCTGAGAGTGAAGATGAGGGCCTTGATGGCATCGTCATCCCAGAAGGCCCGCTTGACTTTGAAGCATCCTTGAGGAAGCGGAAAGAATCGCCCAGTGACGACGTACGGTTAGAACGGCCTTCAGTTAATCAAGCGCCACTCGTTACTGACGACTTCTTCTCGGGCCTTGAAATCAATAATGGTGAAGTATTCGATCCTCGCAGGCTGTCGATAAACCCTAACGTCAAGTGTAAAACGGAAATTCCCAAGAGTCCTGCGCGGCACTCGACAACCACAATCACATTCACGAACACGGCGATTTCCCCAAAGACTCGAATTCCACGCCTTTCAGGACACGACCGTCCTCATTCAACACACCTCGAGACTGTGTCGGAGAGCGGTGCTCCCTTGTCAAGGTTTCGGTCATCGCAGCGCCGGGCTGGGGGTCATTCCTCACAGTCTTCCGTCTCCAGCCTTCCTGGGTTTACCTCCACATCTCAAATGCCGTCAACCCCTAGTCGACGGCCCATGGGGGCCGGTGTATCAAATGATAGCTTTGTTAGTGAACGTGTAACTTCGGGAAGGCAACTACTAAGGGCCAAGCGCTCAATGCCAACGTTACGAAATATGCATCAGGCTATCTCAAATTTTCAAAGTCTGCCTACAGCTCAAGATGGTTCGGACGTGCCTAAATATTACGCCACCCGACCAAAGACTCCTGTTGACCGGTTAGGAATCGATGCGAAGACTTTCGCCCGTAAACCTCAAGCACCATTCCTCCCTGCCGGTGCCTCGGATAAGCAATCGCATCATGCCAGCGTCAAAAATCATCGATACAATCGTCGGTCCAGTTCAGATGGCCCCAATGACGCCACAAATTCTCAAGGACATGGAACCCGACTGCCGCGATCTACTCGCCATGACACAACGGGTAAGACTCTCAATGAGTCAAGTCCAGAGACATTAGTCGCTGCAAGCAAAAGAACACTTACGCGACCTACTCGACGACGTAATTTTGGTGATGGTTCTGAATTAGCACTTTTTGACGATTTGCCCACATCTTCTTCAGCAGAGAAGAGATTCGTGAAGCATCCTTCGGGGCGAGGTGTTCCGAGAACACTTAGGAGTAAACTAAGCCACGGCCAGTCTAACTCAGCGAAGGCAGATGCCACAAGTGAACAAGCCACACCTAGTGCTACAGTCAGGCTAAACAATGTTACGCCAAGATTCGCACGGGATACAAACGCTTCGAGGAATGCGAGAGAACAGCGCATTGCATCGTTAACAAATACGCCAAAGAACCGCGACCATCACCCACTTGCTCCTCTTGGGATGAATTGGAAGCCTGCGAATGTCTCGCGGGTGCCGTCGAACTCGGCAACTATCCGGAGCAGGAAAAGCAAAGCCGCGCCAATGCCTGTCTCCAAACCACAATTGATCAAACCCATGGGTACGGGTGTGCAAGAGCCCAAATGTAAATTCAGCTCCATTACTTGATATGAAAAGTGCTGACATCCTTAGCTGTTAACGGTATGCGTTATAATCCTAATTCTTTTTGCTGGGAGGGGAATGAAAATCTAGTGCAAGATTTTGACACCATGTCCCCCAAGTCACCAAAGCCGACCCCTGCTCTTATCACAAACATAGGTGCGATGAAGAATGTGCAAGTCGTCGGCGGAATGGTGTTTGATCCACAACGTATGTGCTGGCTCAAGTTGGCGCCATTTCAGCCGGGGAAGGATGGACTGGTTGCTATTCAAGACGAAGATGATGTCTTTGCAGGTCTAGACGACCTAAAAGAGCCGTCTAATACTGCGGGTGGACGAATGTCGGGCGCCTATGATGAATTCGGTCTCGCGACCAGTGGTGATGACCGCAGCTACGAAGATTCTTCGGACGAATGGCCCATGACGGAAGAGTTTGACGTGGGCCCAGAGTTTATCAGGCGCCAGCGTGCGGAAGAAGACAAGTGGAGGCGTAAGGTCGATAGATGGACCACTCATGATCGTGAGAGGTTCGGGGACGGTTGGAGATGGGCTATCCGAGATCTGGTGAGATTCAATAGCACGCTCAGCACACAGCACCTTGACCGCACATGATTCGGTCGCAAGTGGCGCTTCCAAGAACAGGGGGTCCGAGAGTATCAAAGAAGTGGTGAAAGGCCGCTGCTGTTGCATTGAAGCAGCCCCTATTGGCCTGTGCACTCCAACCCTGCTGCCAGCTTTCCATGGCAAATATTGACGAGAAGGGAAGAACTCATGATTTTTCTACGAGACTATGACTTAAAGAGATGCGGTTTGCTTTGCTTTTTATGAACCGATTGGTGTATGTAACTTACTACCATGTCATTGATGGACAGATGACTTTCTCGAGGATGTATAATAACTGATCATTCTTATGTGAATCCTATTGTAAATGTTACGGGGAATCCAGGAAGGAATTTCTAATTCAAAGAGCATATGGCTACTGGCGAGGGTGCTTGGACCCAGGATGTTGTAGAACATATCAAGTCTCTTACCCGTGGTAGCGCCTCGTCATTCTATAAGACTTGGATTGTCCAGGTAAGTAGTAACATATGCTCGCTATATCCACCTATGGGGATAGTTGCGGATTTTCCATGAACTAATGTGGTCAGCATGGCTAATAATAACTACTTTACAATACCTACATGGGCTGGGTGTTTTCATACCGCTTGGCACGTTAGGGCCGGGCGAATGAGGCTGACAGAGATGGTCTTGAATTAACAGAACTTCTTGGAGTGATCCGTTCCTCATATTTACGAAATGTAGCTTTCCTGTATTATTTTCACGTTCATGTCTATGGATGGGGCAGAGAGCATCATCCCAAGCCCTCATGGCTCCTGACAAGAGTTTGTGGTACAGCCCTAGAATCCAGGCTCGACTAAAACGACCAGTTGCGATCACAGCTAGTACTTGGCAAGTTTCCCCCTCGCGTCAGAGACTAATCTACATATCTTAGTAGATCATAAGCTTCCCTTTTTAATGGGCCCTGGCATTTCAATCAGGATGCAAAGCCCCCCCGCCCCCTACTCTTCCTGGGAGTGCCGGATTGTTTGTATGAAGTAGCACATGCCCTGAGCCAGCGATAAAATAGTCTGCAAAGGTCCGAGACTCGATATGTCAGGATCCGTCCAGAACAACTACTGATCCATTGGTGGGCTCGGCTAATACTTCCCAGTGTTAGCTGACCCTTTGCAGGTAATGAGCAGACATACCGTGCATCTAGCAGCACACACACGCCTACATTGAATGGTAAGATACCCACGGGGGTGATCATTCATCAACCCAGTCAACAACGCATGAACTTACGTTGAACAAGGCTTAGAGTACAGAGACGCTGTACTCAGCAAGTATTCTGTCTCTCAAACCTCTGTGAGATAAATAATATAGTCTCGGTTCCTGAGACCCCTATCGTCCACATGAACACCATTCAGCATCGACGAGACTGTTTTGGCAATTCAGATAAACATGGGACTGACCAGGTTGCCAATGTTGTCGTGTATTACGTAGATCTCTGGGGGCCCCAATGTTCGATAAGGTATCATAATCTGAATTCAATCTGCCACCATCCAGTCCGAAACCATAGTGCTGTCTCCCCGCAGAATCCCTCCACCGGGGAAGTGAAAAATGACAGAATACCCGTCCTGATACTCATTGTTTCGTCGTCGGATTTCCGAATTTGGACAAAGAACGGGTCATTGAAGATTCACATGGGTAATCTCCGCCCTCCCTCGTCAGCTGTGCAGGATTTTGGGTCCCCTTCTAAGACACTGAGATAACCTGCAGGTTCTAGGTCATGTATACCAATGCACTGTATAAGCCAAACGCATATGATTCGTGGATAGGAGGCTGCTTTTGCTGTCAACGAAGGTACTTTAAGTCAGCACGGGACTCCAAACTGCCATCATGGGGTACGGGGGCGCAGAAGGGGAAAGAGTGGTTATCTTTTATTATTAGGGTTGTAGGTAGGTAGGCGGCGAAGAATGGAAAAGCTGTAGACGCAAGTGGAAAGGTCACTAAAGACGCGAAACAAGGCCACTAATATTATGTGTGAGCAGAAAAGAGGACCACTTAAACCACAGCAATGGTCGTGATAATGACAACTAGCGATAATCTCGCTTTCGGGTCGGTATATGTGCGGATGATATCTAGATGCTATGTATGGATCAATAAACATCATGCAAATTTCAACACACATCAGATTGAATTTCCTATCCAAAAAGAACGAAGCGAAAAAGAAAGTGCTTGACAGCAGCATCTAAGTAAGGCCATGTGATAACATCCCTCCAAGCTCACGAATTATCTTCTAGCCTGACTTAACGTACAGTTCCATGAATTGGGCCCGTGCCTAACTCCATATATGTAGCATACGCATACCGTTGAACCCTCAGAAAGCCGGCATTTCCCCGTAGTAGTAAGCGTACAGACATACTAACCTGGCAGCAGTCAGCTACTAACTTCCCCAAACTAGCGTACTTCAACCTCTTACTGTATATACATGGGGCTAATGCAGTTATAAGTTCAGTGGCGGCATCTACAGGCTGTATGTAAGCTTCATGGGTACAGGATTCAGGGTATATCCCTGCTTGTTTGAGCCATCCGTAAGACAAAGAGTAACCCAATGTAGGTAGAGATTTGGCTAAAGACTGGGTAGGGACAAGGGGTAATGATTTAACCAGGTCTGCTCCTTGCACAAAATGTTCATTGGTGCTGGACATGGGTAGCAGAGATTGAAGAAGGCGGGTGGAACCCTTACAAAGGTTAAGCATCGACTTCACATTTCATGGGGAATGGGGAAAGGGATTGCAATACTCACTGGTCTATGGGTTTTATTCTCTAATTCTCAACTATAAGAGTAGACTCTCATCTACAATATCGACACCAGCAAGGGTTACACAGAGTATCGAATGTCAAACTGGGTGAAGACAGTATTTCATGCAGTCAGTTTCGGACACTTGCATTGCGCGTAGATGGAGAAGACAGATACAAGACACGAGTTACACGGTATATTGTAAAGGAAAGTTTCCATCCAATCTTACTTCAGGGGGGTACAGCCCTTGTGATGATGACATACCTACTCCTAGTTCCGCTCCCAGTACTCGATTTTGTCAAGCCCTCCTTTCGCATGGGTGGCCCCGAGTCAAGCCGGGCTGATGATATTTAGAGCAAGCGTGGTGGCTAGTAACCCTCTGCCTGTGTCTATGAAAGATTGGATATTTGCCTAGCAGTGCTTGCTCTCTGCTCTAGTTCGTCAAGCATCATTTTTGGTTTGGCTTACCGCAAACCTAAATAGGGCTAATAGATGAAAGTAAAGACCCTGCTCATGTGACTGGTATCACTAAGTAGTTAGTAGACGGGATGTTTGATTGACACCATCCATCGTTTGCTTCCCATTGGACTTCTATTTTCTTCAAAGGGCATGGTGATCAGTGTAGACAACGCTGATACCTGTCTACCCACCAGATTCTAATGTTTTTCGCTAGATGCCCCCTTTTCCCTTTTCTTTTCTTTTCTTGTCTTTTCTTTTTTTCTTTTTTTTTCTTTTTTGTCCTTCTGTACTTGTACCTCCCTGTTGGGATATTATTTGCAGTTAGGCGATCTTCATCAGTCACTTTGGTGTGTCTACGAGATCCCCAAGGTATTAGGTATGTGTCCTAGGTAGAACCCTGGCCGTGGTCACCAATTATACACCCAATGGTCACCGGTGAACTAGAGTCTAAAGGACAATCAAGGGTATTGCAACCCTCGCCCCAAACATTCTCCCCTGGACAACCACCCTTGGAGCTTGTGTGTTAACTAGTTTTTTGTCTCTGTCTCCCCCCAGTCCCGCTTTTCTCTTCCCTGTCTTTGCTACTGTTCGGCATCTGGCAATCAGCTCCAAAACAAAAAAAAAAAAAAACAAACTGTGTACGAACTATGTAAAGAGGTGCCGTCCCCTAGTCAATTCAGGTTCCTACATACCTACCCTGTCTTGTTCATAAGCGCCCAAAATCCGGGTATCGCACATTTAGCGTATCACGTTTCAAAAGGAATTTTGGTGTTAAGCAGAGTTAGTCGCCAGCTCATACATACATTAACACACCTACAAGGGGGTACATAACTACCCAGGTATCTACCTATTCTTGTATCTGGCGGTTACTCAACAAGAAGAAAAAGAAAAGAAGGAAAATTCCCAAGGCGAAGAAACAGCAGAATGGTTTCCAAGATTGCCAGTTGTCATCCAATCGAGTACCGACGATGCTGGCGGCGGCAGCGGCGACGATGTTATTGATGACGTTGTCTTCAGTATCCGCGACAATTCAGAAGGGGATCTGAAAGGCAGCCAATTAGCCTAGGCAAGCGGTTTGGGGATTGACTCTGAGAAGGACCAGCACAGTCACTCTGCGATATTCTCTGCTTGGTGGTGGTCTTTACTACCTCCTGGCCGTACCTACTTTGGACATCAGTGATGTTGTCTATCATGACGTTCAGGTATCGCATCAGTTATATTCGCACACGAACCAGGCCTCGATTATTGTGATACTATTCAGTTTCTTGCCTCCACTGACCAGCTGCAGCATCAGTTCTTCATCCATTTCCTTCCTAAGTGTGGGACTCGTGTACTGCAGGAGCTGTCTTATCTGTCCTTATTGGCTGATATGGTTGGCAACTGTAAAACACCTGTCTCCATCATACGGTGGCTCATGGAGACCATGACTTTGTATGGAAAAAACACTAACGGCAGGCACAATTTTCTCCACTTAGATGACTGTCGCCCAGATACGGGCAAGTAATATCTGTTTAATTCGTGATTTCTACTTATGTTGATCTTATGCTGACACTAAACTGACGCCTTGTCTGACGCAGAAACAAGCCTGTTCAGTCTGCCAAACGGTATATACTCCAGGACGGCAATTGATCTATCCTTGTAGCTGCTGCGCTGTAGCTATCATTATTATTCATATCATTTCCATTCATGTTATTGCATTTTTGATTTATTGATCACATTTCCTTCTCTGGGCAACCTGGCCAGGGCTCTCAATTACCTAGACATCAACAGATATGCATCTTGTCTCCTCCTGCCTCGGCGCCTTTCGCTCTTGTTCCTGAATAAATATTATTCTTTATTTAACTTATAATTCAGGATTCTTTTTGATTGGGGGGCGGGGGGTTTCGCTTTCTTCTTTTGTCTCAGAATTCTTATTCTTCGAGATTCTCTTTTTCCATATTTTTTTTTCTCTATTCATACCCCTCATCTTTGCGTTATGATGCCTGATCCCTGTCGGTTCCACAGCTGCTAACCACTGCTCTCCATTCTCGTTTCCACTTTTTCTTTCAATGACTTTTCACCTATATTGCTGTGGAGCTGTTCTCATAGGTGAATCCAAAATACCTATTACCGTTTCTTCCATGCTCCCTTACATATGTATATATGTATGTATGTATTTTTTTTTTCTTCTGCTGCAGCTCGCTTCCTCTATCCTGGCCACCCTCTCTGCGTATGCAGAGTACACATGCTTGGAGAAAGAAGCAATTTCCAAAGTTCAAGGATTATGTGGTGTTTCTTAGATGCGGCAAGATTGCAGAATGGTCAACCTTGCACCCTGTCAAATACTATGCCTTGGTCTTGTGCATATCGTACCAGCGCATCCTATACTGACCGTACTGAGGCTTCCTGGAGGGTCTGGTCAAAGCTCTGTCTGCTTTACCTTTTAACTGGCACTTTGTACCCACTTTTGCTTGACATCTTTGGCCCTACGTTCCTACTGTTGTCAGGTCACAGTAGTCTGACACACTATTGAACTGCTGAGAATCTTCCCTCTCTGTCTTGTTTAGTCTTCCCTATCCCTCAACCCTAATCCGGAGTAATAAGATTCTTTCATCTAGTCTCTCACATTGAGCTCGGTACGATTGCAAGGGTAGCGAACGCATAAACCACTTTCCAAGACGACTCCACTAGAAGCTCAGTCATACGGTCTTTTTTCCGAGTGTAACTGCAATCACAGTCTTTTTCCCCGTCTAAAGGATTATAGGTACCTCTGGGGTTTTGGCAGACCTATTCAACATGAGTGGTTACCCAAGGCGCAATCACGATGGCTCTGACAGCTACATGGTGAACCACCAGCTCCTACCTGTTCCGTACAGTCACGGTGACAGTCACGACTTTGGGTTAAATGATTCAGGATCGTATCCTTTCCAGCAGCAATCATTCAGTACCTATGCATCACATTTTGGTTCACCCTATAGCCATTCTGGCATCACATCCAGCACGCATCATCTGTCACCACATCATTCACCGGGACATTCGGTCCCATCGACTCCTGATCATGTACCTCTTCAGCATCACATCCAATACATGCCTCAGTCACGTTACCTTCAATCACCAGGGTTTCTGCCACTTCGTGATGCATTTAGCGAGGCAGATATTGAAAGCCAGGATTCACAGAATGAGAATTCGATGCTATCGGAGCCAGTCATCCCTCCTCTGGACGGCTTTCCTAATGTAAGAGAGTTTGATC